CGATGATTTTAATGACACGCGTGGGGAAGACCGCCGCTGTACGCAGACAGCGCCGATCCCCGACTTACAGAGCATAAGCAGGTGTTTTATACCTTTCAGGGCTTAAATTTAATACGCCCCTTCAACGTCACTCAGATACAGTTCATACATAGGTTTCAAAACCACAATGACTAAAATAACATTGTCTCCGTCTCCACGACAGATGCTTCCTGTCAGCCTTCTGACTGTCACTTCCCGTCTGGAACACCAGACCCACACCCTGCAAGAAACTGTTCCTCTTTTTGCAGAGACAGCAAGAAACTATTCCTCTTTTACAGAGACAATTTTAGAGTTACAAGCAAACATGACTAACCTCTCACCTATAAATAAGTCTATCTAATGTGTGAGTGTGTGTGTGTCAGCATGAACTGCACTCAGTTTCACCTCTCACTTCACCAGCTGAACCTTGTAACCTTTTCCACCAGACAGAAGGCCAGCACGTACACATTTAAGATTATAACAAGCATTCAAAAACATTTAAGATTATAGATTCAACTCAACAGTTTAGAGTGGTTATAACTGCATCTTTAATAAAGGCTAATTGGGTACCAATATGTTTAAACATCTGAATACAATATCAATACTGCAGATTGTATTATTAATGCAATGGTAATGATGATGATTATTAACAATAGCAGTAAAATATATCTCTAATTCCTCACACTTGCCAGTTTAATTCATGTGTTTTCTCACTTGTATTGGGAACAGAGTTTGTCATGGGAGCGAAGCCACTGTACAGTTTTGGAGTTGGGGTTGTCACAATTCACGCCACAGAAATGAGCACTGTGTGGGATTTGGGGAGAAACAAGGTAAAAACTATGTTCTGACCTTTGACCTGTATAAGCAGCACTGACCTCTGACATGGAGCTGCACATTTTTCCTTGTCAGTATGTTTCCTTTCCTGCTGTAGATGGTACAGGTATAGATGGAGTTGTCGTCATCCGTGGGATATGTCAGGGTCAGACTGAGGTCTCCAGGTTTCAGCAGAGATGTTCTCTTCATCTCTGTTCGGTTTCTGTAAAACCGGTGCTGTTTTTCAGGCTGGTCAGAGCCGTTCTGATACACATGGACCTTCCTGTTGTTTCTGTCCCTCCACTCCACTTTAGTGTGTTTTAGGAATTTAAATATGGTTTTGCAGGGCAGCTTGACAGACGCCACCCCTGAATCCACCTCCACTTGGTAATCT